CGCACCTTCGACCCAAATGGATGGATCACCCCGGTCATCTTTTTGGCTAAGTGCTTTCTTCAAAAGCTCTGGATGTCGGGGTTGGGTTGGGACGAGCCTATTAGCGGGGTCCTCTTGCGAGAGTGGCTCTCCATGCTCTCCTCCCTTCCGGACATCAACCGGGTTTCCATGCCAAGGTGCTTCCTACCTCCAGGGAAATGCAGGGCTACCCTACATGGGTTTTGCGACGCCTCTGAGAAGGGCTATGCTGCTGTCGTATATTTGCGGACTGTGAGTTCCTCTGGGCATACTGCAGTTCATCTCGTACTCGCCAAAAGCAAGGTTGCTCCCATTAGATCCCGTTTAACTATCCCTAAATTGGAACTGTCCGGAGCCGCTCTTCTCACGCGGCTCCTCAACCACGTTCACTCGTCCTTGAAGCCTGTAATCGACATTACGGACGTCTACGCATGGTCGGACAGTGAGATAGTACTTTGTTGGCTCCGAGCCGCACCTCACAATCTTGAGGTCTTTGTGGCGAACCGCGTGTCTCAAATCCAGAGTTCTGAGACTTCTCTCCACTGGAGACATGTCCCCGGGGAGTTGAATCCCGCCGACTGCGCTTCCCGCGGCTGTGAGGCCCCCGCGCTGGTTGCCCACTCATTGTGGTGGGGTCCCAGTTGGTTATCTGATCCTCAATCCTTCTGGCCCCAGGGTAATTACTCCGAACCTACTGAGTTGCCGGGCCTACGGGCCCGAGTAGGAGTGGGCAAGGATAAGCCCACTCGGGATCTCTCCCTTCTGGAACGGTACAGCTCTCTCGATAAGCTCTTAGGAGTGACTGCTTGGCTGCGCCGCTTTGTCCACAATTCGAGAGATCCGTCCAACCGACTCTCTGATTGCGTTTTGTCCCCTAGCGAGCGTCGGGAAGCCCTGATGCATTGGATCCGTATGGTCCAGACGGAGCATTTTGAGCCCGTTATCGAACACTTGAAGCGTGGCTCCGTTATCAAGGGCGCTCTGGCCCGCCTGAACCTCTTTCTGGACGACGCTGGGATGCTGCGCGTGGGCGGACGTTTGAAAAACTCTCAACTGCCGTGCGGGGCTCGACACCCGTTGCTGCTCCCTAAGGACGGCGCCCTTGTCCGGTTGCTGGTAACCCACCACCATGTTAGGAATGCCCACGCTGGGTGTAACGCCCTGTCGGCTATTTTGCAGCGGGAGTTTTGGATTTTGTCTGGTCGTCGCACCATTCGGAGCGTCATCTTTAAGTGCATCCCCTGTTATAAACTGAAGGCCCCCATATCGCAGCCTCTTATGGGTGACTTGCCGCCCGACCGCGTCAGGGCCATCCGACCATTCGCTGGGGTCGGAACAGACTTCGCTGGCCCCTTCCTCGTCAAGTCCTCTAACCTTCGTAACGCGCGTTCATGTAAGGCCTATCTTTGCGTCTTCGTGTGCCTCTCCACTAAAGCCGTTCACTTGGAACTGGTGAGCGCCCTCAGCACGGAAGCCTTCTTGGCCACGCTTGGCCGTTTCGTGTCGCGGCGCGGCTTGCCGGACTTGATCCGGTCTGACTGCGGGACGAATTATAAGGGCACGGATAGGTATCTCAAGGAGGTTGTCGAATTTCTGTCCAGCCACCGGACTTATTTAGGAAATGCTATGTCGAAAAGGGGCATCCAGTGGAAATTCGACCCTCCGGCGTGTCCCCACTGGGGCGGTATTTTCGAGGCGGTGGTTAAGGTTGCCAAAACGCATCTCCGTCGCGTTATTGGTGAAGCCATTTTGACGTTTGAGGAGCTCGCCACTGTATTCTGTAAAATTGAGGCGGTACTCAACTCTCGGCCCCTCTGTCCCCTCTCCTCTGACCCGAATGATTTGGAGGTTCTAACCCCGGGACACTTCCTGATTGGCCAGCCTCTTAACGCTCTGCCCGAGTATCCCTTCAGGGAAACGAGTGCTTCACGGCTTAGCAGGTTTGCCCTGCTGCAACAGATGACTCAACGCTTTTGGCACCGATGGTCTCTGGAGTACCTACATCTTTTGCAGCAGCGCGTTAAGTGGTCTGACAAGACGGAGCCTCCTCGGGTGGGAGACCTCGTGTTGATTAAAGAACCAAACGCGCTACCTTTGTATTGGCGCCGTGGGCGCATTGTTAAATTGTCGTATGGAACGGATGGGGTGCCTAGAGTGGCCGAGGTTTTGGTCGGAGATTCGGTCTTGCAACGGGCCGTCGCGACCTTGTCCCGTTTGCCAATCTACTCGCGGACTTAATGCCTTATGTCCGGGGCGGGGGGTTGTCTAGGCAGGAAAATTTGCAATAAAAACGCAGGATTTAACGCGCGCTTTTGGCCTCGATATCAAGGACACCTTCCCTCTCCCCCGCCCCCCCGGCCGCCCAACGAGTCGGTGTGGCTCTTCTCGCGAGGTAGTAGGATTTTTCTTGCGAACTATACGGACGTATTTTTTCGCGCCTAAACTTGCTAAAGAAACAATCCGCGTAAATCGTTGCAATAACGGTATCGTTATTAGAACGTACTAACTCGGTGAAATTCGCGCGCAACTATCAAAGTGATTTACATCTGAAGGACTACCAGAGTAGCCGTCCCATTTGGTGACAACCCCTTACGAGTGCCTCCAGAAGGGTGAAGTTCCGGGGATACCAGCGCGTGCCTTCTCCCGGACGTCGTCGAGTCATCCAGATCGGTTCCCGTCAACATACCAGCTCACACAATTACACCTACACTCACAACACCGCATACACCAAGCACAACTTCCATCAGCCGGGCCGGTCTAGGAGAACCGTCTGCGCTCCTGAGGCAGGTAAGTGCATTTCTTCTAGTGACCTTTCCCCTCGCGTGTTCATTAGAAACCTTTGACCCTCGGCGTAGGAACGCCCGACCTGCATCTGCCCGTGGCTCCTTCGTCTATGGGCCGCGAAGGATCCAACTCCTGTTTAGGCAGGGCAGCTGTTGGCCGTAACACCAGATAAAACTGAAATCGGCCTATGATTATTAACTAAGTTTTTAACACCAGCTTTGTAAATAGGAGAAACCACTTCCAAGGGGTCGCTCGACAACTGACGCTGGAGTTGAGCTTATTAAACATATTTTTGTGCATGGGAGAATTCAGGGGATGCTTTGGGTATATTTTGTGACCTTTCCAAGGCCTTCGACTGCGTTCACCATGAGACAATAATCAGGAAGCTACAGTACTATGGTGTCAAGAACACAGCGCTTAAACTTATTATTTCAAACTAGCTGGCCCGGCAAACATTATTCTGCCCTTTCTCTGGTTCTGGTTGGTGGCGCGATGAGTTTATCGCGCCACCAACCAGAAACACACACACACACTTTTCTATAGATCTATACTACGTATAACTAAATACTCTTTAGGACTAATGGAACCATCAGCAGCCATAATGACAATAAACTAAAAATAAAGGCAAACATACAACCTCTTTCGTTTACTCTTCCGTAATCGGATAAAAAGTTGCCTATATGTTATATTCGGTCATTTGCTGTCAAATCTGTCCAGTACTTTTTGCGTGAATCGTGAACACACAATTTTTCTACAGATTTATTATATGTATAGATTGTTACGAGCTTGTGGTTCGAGACAATTATAAACTGCCGATTGAATTACCAAAATTGACTATTTAATTACACAACACTAATTACAATTAAAATCACACTAATAATAAAACACACATCGCCGTTATTTCGCTTCGAAGTATTCTCTTGTATCGCCAATTCGATAATGCCCCGGTCGTGGTCTATACCGGCCTTATATAGGTCCTCAGATAGTTTCTAGAACCTTCTACTGTAGTGACATCTAGAATGTTCGAGTACATATCGGTCCCGAAATTTCTGGAAGGATCTCGACTCTCCTAGTTCTGCTACTCGACACTAGAGGGCGCTAGTGTAACTAGTGTTGCCATGTACAAGACATTAATAGTGGCGCGCAACAATATTTAAGTAATAGAATGCAGATAGTTATTATCAATGGTAAAAGTTCTTTCGGGTCACCTGTACTAATGGGTGTCCCTCAGGGTTCGATTCTCGGTCCATTCCTATTTTTAGTGTATATTAAGGACTTACCTTCTCTTGTAGAGGATAATCATGATATAGTATTATTTGCTGATGATACTTCCTTGATTTTTAAACTTAAACGTCAATCATTTAAATGTGACGAAGTGAAAATCAAAATTAGTGCATTGGTTTAACGTAAATAATCTACATTTAAACGGAAATAAAACTAAATGTATTAAATTTAAAACAACGAATGTTAAAAATCTGAGTACCAATGTGTTTTTAAATGGGGAAGAACTGAGCCCTGCTGAATCCACTGTTTTTCTTGGCATCACTCTCGACGCAAAGCTTCAGTGGGGCCCCCATATATCCAAACTAGCAAGCAGACTAAGTTCTGCAGCCTATGCTGTAAAAAAGATTAGAGGTCTCACTAGTGTCGAGACAGCTAGATTAGTTTATTTCAGTTATTTCCATAGCATAATGTAGCGGTAAAAGAATTAAAAAAATAGTTTAGTGCACAAATTAATTGAATAACTTTAAAAATTAATTGAATTTTTACCATGATAGTTCTTGGGAATAAACATCCGCTCGTGAATGCTTTTGTAGATTTTCATGGTTTGACCAACAAAATTTTAAAATATATCGAAATTGATACGAATTCGATACTCTTAAATAAATATCGATATATCGCGATTAAAACTATCGACGATATATATTACGATATATAATGTTTATTGAGAAAATATCGATATTTCAATATACTGATATTTTTAGCTCAAGCCTAGCTTCCCTAGGAGTAAATTAAGTATTCTGTGATTCTGTGGTGCCAAGTGTCATGATGCCAACCAAAACAATTTTGACAAATGACAACAAGCATCAAGCAACAACAGTTATGCCCATGAGCTACCACCTATCATGAGCCCATGTTGACTAAAGTTAGAAGAATTTTGTTTTATGATTGTGACATATTTTGTATTTATTCCACAGTTGTACTGTTTTAGAAGTAAGTACAGAAGAAAGCTTAGAAGTGGATTCGTACTACGATTTACAACTTGCTAATGCATTACTAACTATTCTAACTTAGTTTCGTCCAAATAATACCTCGACTTCAATTTTTTTGTTGTAAGTATTACTTTAGAGTTTATAAAGAATTATGTATAAAACAGAATAATTGTGAAAAATCAGTGCAGTTATATTTTAAATACAATTCACTTTATACCTTGTGATATTAAGCAAAACAGAGAGTAAGAAAGAAGAATAATTGGTTTATTTTTTAAAATATGGTACGAAAAATTGGTAAATAATATTTAAGTATTAGTAGTATATTCTATGGGTAAAACCAAATGACATAATATAATGTGAAATGATGATGTTCATTGTCATTTTTCCTCCATGTAGCAGCTGTAAAAGAATTCGGTTATGGGCGTCTTATGGGCGACAAAGGGAAATAAAACTGGAGATGGGTGGTAGCATTTTCATAATAACTTATAAATATAAAACAACCTTGGCTAATATCCTATCTTATCCTATGCTTATGAAGCAATATTTAGGGGAGGCTTATTTTCAGCTGTGGGCTGTTAATCCTCTTAAGGAATAATCTTATGTTGTTATTTTTTTTACATCCATGTTCTCTGTGTAGGTTTGTGTAGCTTACAATTGATTTAAAGGTTCAATCTTATGAGGGTGCATCATTTTTTAAACCGACTGTCCCAGAAAGAGGGTAATGTTTTTCGAAAGTTTGTATGTACATAATATTATGTCTATTTCTTTGGCACATATGAGGTGTTGTTAGATTTGTCTTAACCCCTTACTGCATACCAAGCCATATATGAACACAAAAGTTTATGATTTTTTTATAGCCTAATGAAAAAGTAGATCATTAGTCCATGGTAATTGACATTTTGTCAACTATATTTGAGATTATTGGTAACGGGTGTAGCCCGCTGGTGTCAGAAAAACAAGTGCAACTTTTGGGATTGTAAATAAAATACTCAATGGTAAGTAAAATGTATTAAAAAAATATGACTATATGCTTTATACCCTCTAAAATATAAAACTAGTTTGTTTATTTCAATGCCTACCTTTTTTCGCATTCTTGTTTGTCTTTTTTCCAATCTGCCATATTTGGCTTAATATGCGTTACTGAAGAAATTACTGCTGTCATATTTGGCTTCGTATGCGTTCTAGATTATTATTGGAGGTCTATGGCCAACGGTCGAATGGTTAACACGTACTTGTGAGTGCTTTTCGGTATTTGGTTAATTCTCCTTAATTTCCTTATTTTGTGGTGGTGGATTCCTCTGCTGTAAGTCTACGTTTATAAGTTATAGTTATTTCGAACATTAAACCCAATTATGGGTGACGAAACGGGGTCTCCTCGTGAGAAACCCCCTGACCCTCCCGATGAAGACATGTGCTTTGGAGTAAGTGACAATAATGATTGTGGCCGTGGTAAAAAAAGACACGCTGAGACTCGATCATTTGATCCAGTAATATATAAAAAGAATTCTGTAATTGATTTAACAGCGTCAATAAACACAATATATAAACATCCCTGCCTAGAACAAAATCTTAGAATGTATGGTCCAAACGACCAAGGCCCTTTTATTGTCCACATCTCCCGGGCTACGTCAGATCCTAGAATAGGGCTATCACTTCGACCAATTAAAATAGGTTTATGCTTGTCTAAAAATAAAATAGAAAACATCAAAAGAGGGGGAGTCAAAAGCGTTGGCAGAAATCGCATCTCTATTGAATTCTGCTCAGCCGATGAGGCTAACAAATTTCTTAATAATCCAATGCTTGCAAAAGAAAAATTGATTGCAACTATTCCATCCTATAATGTTTCTCGAATGGGTGTCATCCGCGGTATCCCTGTGGATTGGTCAATGGAAGAACTAGCAGAAGCTGTTGAGCTTCCTCCTGGTTGTGGTAAAATCCTAAAAGCTCGCCGTCTTCAGAGAAAGACTTTTGCTGAAGGGTCAACATCCCCAATATGGGTTCCCACTCAATCTATTGTTCTGACATTTGAAGGTCAGTTACTCCCCAAATATATATATGCATTTTACACATCCCTTGCTGTTGAAACTTATCAACTCCCCTCCATCCAGTGCAAACACTGTTGTCGATTTGGCCACATAGCAGATCAATGCCGTTCTAAACCACGCTGCTTCCGTTGTGCCCAAGAGCATACTGGAGCAAGTTGTTCTGTTCCTGAAAGTGAAGCCACTTGTCTGTTATGCTCCAAAAACCATTTTGCTAATAACAAAAACTGTCCGGAACACCAAAGGCAGATTTCTATCAAAGTTATGATGTCAGAACAAAATATATCCTATATAGAAGCTTCAGCCAAAATCCCATCTATCCGATTGAACAATCCTCAAAAACCGTATTCCGAAGTGGCCTCTACTCAGCTTTCACCTACTCCTACTACTTCCTTCAACCTCCCCACCATGTCACAGGCATATAGAAAAACCATCTTCAAACCTCCCCGCCCCATACCTAGAATTCCCATGGGGTATGACCAACAAGCTCATCAAAGAATAGTTGCAGACTGCCCATCCTCTACTCCAAATGGATGCGCTTTATCCAACACGCACAACCAAATATCTCCAAATGAAAATCTTGTTGAATGCCTAATTTCCCTCCTCAATAATTTAATTTTGAAAATGTCAGATTCACTACCGAACAACGTTGCAGAAAAAATCTTTAATTTAGCTAGTTTAATAGATAATATAAATGACTCAAACAAAAGACCTCCATCTCCTTCAATGGAACTGTAGAAGCTTGCAACCTAAAAAATCTGAACTCATCTTCCTAATAAATAAACATTCAATTTCTGTTGCTTCAATTTCAGAAACATGGTTCCTACCTAACTCCAAATTTCGCTTGCAAGGCTTTACTTGCCTCCGTGAAGATAGAAATGATGGTTATGGTGGTTGTTGCTTACTCATAAAAAAATCCCTACCCTTCTCTCAAATTGCACTCCCTCCTCATAGCCAACACATTAATGCCGTAGCTGCAAAAATTGCAGGAATCAACATTATTTCAATATATATCCCTCATCCAAATACCCACTTAATTCAAGAACTATCCTCTCTCTTCTCTTTGTTACCTCCCCCTTTTATTATTACCGGTGATTTTAATTCACATCATGTATCTTGGGGGTCACATTTTTGTGACATATACTCTTCAGAACTTATACAAATTTTTGAAGACATTAATGCTTGCATTATCAACAATGGTTCCCCCACTCATAGAGTATACCCAGGACTAGACCCTAGGTCTGCTGTCGACCTAACAGCTTGTTCTCCTAGTCTAGCCCCTCAGCTTTCTTGGAAAACCCTCAATCAATCATATGGAAGTGATCACTTTCCCATTCTTATTACCAAACCCAATGCGGTTATTCCTTTACCCTTTACTATGCCCCTCCTTAAATATAAGCTCCAAGACGCAGATTGGACTAATTTCACTAAATTTTTAGATACTAAATTTGCGCAAATGCAGGTTGACTTCTCAACCAACCCAATAACTTCGTACTCTCTATTGGTACAATATATAACTGAAGCAGCTGACTTATTTATCCCATCCAAAAAACCCCACAGCAAGAACCTATCCTCCCCTCCATGGTGGGATGCTGAGTGCACCACTATGATTAAAAGGAGAAAAGCTGCAGAAAAGCTTTATAATCACTGTATGACAACCGATAATTTTATACAATTTCAAAAAACCTCCGCTCAAACAAGGAGACTACTTTCCAAAAAGAAAAAAAATGGATGGAAAAAATTCTGTGAATCCTTGTCCCCTAATTCACCAGTAACAATAGTTTGGAAAAATATAAAAAAATTTCGTGGCTCCCTTCTTTCTGATTCCAACATTTCTGATAACTCTTTACCATGGTTAGAAGTCTTCTCTGATATGTTAGCTCCTCCTTTTGTCCCTAATGAATATACAATATGCCCACCCATTCCAGTCCCGTCTTACATCAACAATAATGAGATAATCTTCTCATTGTCCGAATTACAGTCTGTGCTATCTGGCTTAAAATCCTCTTCTCCAGGAGAAGATGGCATACCCTATGCGTGTTTATGTAAATTAAGCCTTAAAGGTAAATTAATTCTTCTCCAAATTCTGAACAATATCTACATATCATCTAATATTCCTCTGTCTTGGTCAAACCAAATTGTTATACCTATCCTTAAACCCGGAAAAGATCCCAAAGAAGCTTCTTCATACCGCCCAATCGCACTCTCATCTACTTTTTGCAAAATTTTAGAACATTTAATTAAAAACAGACTTGAATGGTTTCTGGAACATAATAACATCCTTGCAAAAAGTCAATTTGGTTTTCGTAAAGGTAAAAGCACTTTAGATAGTTTGAGCATCCTAACTACAGATATTAGGTTGGCCTTTTCTAAAAATGAATACTTGGTGGGTTGTTTCCTGGACATATCATCTGCCTATGACAGTGTTCTTCTTCCAGTGCTCAGGCAGAAAATGCTTCATCTGAACATCCCTGCGAAGACTGTACACTTCATTTACAATCTGTTCATGGGACGATCTATCAAAATTCGCAATAAAGGAATGTTAACCTCGCCCAGAACAATCTGGAAGGGTCTACCACAGGGCTCGGTCTTAAGCCCTATTCTTTACAATATCTACACATATGACCTTGAACATTCGATTTCATCTTTCTGTGACATATTACAATATGCAGATGATCTTGCTATCTATGTAACAGCTCCTGATATCCTAACTGCCTCCCATCATCTTAACAGAGGCTTATATTATCTTAATCAATGGCTTACTGACCATGGCCTCTCTCATTCAGCTTCTAAAAGCAAAACAATAACCTTTAGTAGAAAACGTGTTTTCCCTACTATTGATATCTCATATAATGGTGAATCTATTCCAGTTGTTAACAAAGTAAAATTTTTAGGTATTTTCTTAGATTGTCATATGACTGGTACTGCTCACTTTAATTACATCTGTGACAAATGTGAGAAAGGTGTTAATATTCTTAGATCCCTTTCAGGCGTATGGTGGGGTTCTCACCCCATGTGTCAAAAAATCCTATACAATGCCATCATCCGCAGTCACTTCGACTATGGCTCTTTTCTTTTGGAGCCCTGCAACAAATCGGCCCTTAATAGACTTGATGCTATCCAAACAAGATGTTTACGTATTATCACAGGCGCAATGAAATCAACTCCTAAAAATGCTTTACAAGTAGAATGTGCTGATCCCCCTCTCTCTTTACGAAGACAGTTTCTAGCTGATAGATTTCTCTCAAAAACTCTACAACTATCATCTCACCCCTTACATCGTAAACTAGAATCCTTGCTACTATTAGCTGTAAACAACTCCTACTGGTTTAATAAAAGCTGGCCCCCTATTCTTAAATCTCTAAATAGATTAAAAAATATTGGTTATCCTTGTGTAACATCCCTAATTCTACCCTATTTTGAAACCAGCTATGAAGCTATATTAATAAACCCTAAAATCACTCTGAATTTAAACATTAATAAAAATTCCCCCACTGCAAACAGAACTTTCTACAACCTTGTGGCAAAAAAATGGTCTGATTGGCTATATATTTTTACTGATGCTTCCAAATTGTCTCCATTCAAATGTGTCGGTTCCGCAGTCTGGATCCCCAAATACAAAATTGTCCTTAATTATAGATGTCCTCCTCAAGCTTCTGTTTTTACTGGGGAAGCTGTAGCCATATATGAGGCTATTTCCTATATTCTTTCCCATAAAATTCCTAAGTCAGTTATATTTACTGATTCAAAAAGCTGCCTAATGTCATTACAGAGCAATATATTTAAAATGAATTCCATCTCCCCATTAATACTGAAAATTAAGGAACTCATACTAAATTGTAATCTTGATGTGGAGATTGTGTGGATTCCTAGTCATTGTGGTATAGAAGGAAATGAACAGGCTGACTCTTGGGCCAAAGGAGCTGTTGATACTGGCTGTCCTTCTCATTTAATGATTTACTCTCATGATCTAATGTCATTAGCTCAAATTGAATTAAAGAACTCTTGGAACAGAGAATGGAGCACATCCAGACATATTAAAGGTTGTCACTTTGGTAAAATTCAACCCCAAATCCCTCCAAAACCTTGGTTCTTTAAATTTAGCTTTTTGAACAAACAAATCACATCTACAATCTGCCGTTTAAGGCTTGGGCATGCCTGCACTCCTGTATTTCTAGCTAAAATTAGAATCAAAGATCATTCCCTCTGTGAATGTGGACTGGATGAAGGTACCCCAGACCACATTTTCTTTAATTGCCAAAATCACCCAATTTCTTTATATGACATTCTTCCCAACACAATCCCTCGACCAATGAATATCAATTCCCTCTTAACTATCCCCAATTCCATATATGTCAATATGATCTCAAAATATATTCAAATGTATAATATTAAACTCTAATTATCGTGTACTAAATTTAGCTTAAACTAATTCTCTATTCCCTGCCCAGGCTAATTCTCTCCTATAACTAGATGTTTGCTCTATATTGTGTGGTCCATAATTTATGTATTTAGTTGCTTTGTTTTTATCCATATTTTCACCTAATAACCGCTAACTCCTTTTCCACCGAAAAGCCTAAAGACAAGGTGCGACAGACCAAGGACCGGACATTGGCAGAATTATTGTGACATAATCACAATACCAAGGGCCAAATAGACCAAATAATAATAATAATAATAGATTATTATTTGCTTATTTCAAAAAATTATCCTTTTCACTTTTATGGAAGATTCAAGCATGTTAATAAAATTCCTGGTGATGGCAACTTGAGCGACGATGATGTTTCTTCTACCAGTGACGATGATTATGAACCTAACTCTATTCGCTAACCTCAAAAAAGACATATTGATAACAATATGTCTTTTACTAACTCGGAAACTGATTACTGTTACAGACTGTATCTATAATTATGTAAAGATAAGGGGAAAGGCTAAAAAGGAGCGAGTTATTTATATAAAGAGGAAAATGCCCGCTTATGACAAAGCTGACTTTGAGTTCAAAGATAACTCAGAATTACCGAAGATATTGCAGCTAGACACACCAGCAGAGTTTTTTAATTTTTATTCACATCAGAAATTATGGATGTTATTAGTTAGTTTAGTTTACGACAGGCTGATTTCCACAACTCCACGTCTATGCGCGTATTTTGCGTGTGGGCAGGAATAATATGCTTATTCGAGCCATGAGATCTCCCTGAAAAAGCTCAGCAGTCCTTTGATGTTGCCTGCAACTTTGGGGAGTGATCTCGGCGTACCGAGATGTTTAGCCCTGTACGTAGCGACCTCCGGACATTTCAATATCTCATGGGCCGCCGTTTCTTCTTCCCCCATACATGCCCTGCACAGGGAACTATCTGTAACACCTATAGTAAATAAATGCTTGTTAAAGTTGCCGTGTCCTGTGATAGCACTTGTTAATATCATGATATGCGGCTTGTTCAGTCTCATTAGAACTTTGGTAAAACAACTGTTTATTTCAAGCAGGGCCTCCCTAGCTTATCTACAGTCTACTAGATTTTTCCAAAGCTGAGCGTGTAGATTAGTGAAGTGAACCTCATAACTTTTTCTCTGTGGACAGATTTGGATGATTATTTTTTTTATTTGAAAGCTGGTGCTTTTCATGTGGTCCCATATAAATGATCTAGGTCTGACCGTCGTTTTTGAGTTATCCTTAATAATTTATATTGAAGTCTGTTGTCCAAAATTTTTACCACTAGTTGTTTTTTTGTCATTAAAAATAAACACACTCTTGACCTCCATCTGGCCCGAGGGCAAAGATGAGATCTACGATGCAGTGAGATTGCCCAGGAAAGCACTCAGAAAAACAGACGGACGCCAGCGGGGTATTCCACCTCTTGGCTGTGCGCATTATAAAAGATGACTTATGGGGCTTAGTGCGAATATTGGGAATGTCAATTAAGTGTGGATATTAACCTGTAGTACGTCAGGTACTCCAATAGGAAAATGGAGATGATGGTATGAGTTTATGAAGCTCGTAGTAATAGTATAGCTTCCAAGTTAGGCCGGCCAGATACATACGGAATTCCGTTTCGGGATTCCGTTTTGATATTCCAATTCGGGATTCCGAACGCAGCAAGTCCATATAAAATCTATGACCCGCCACACACGTACGTTATTTTTCCGTACGGAATTTCTCCGATTCAAGATTCTGTATGACCGCCTGTGCGTTCGGGATCCCGAACGGAAAAAAGCTGCTCCGAACGCACGTCTTCCATAGATTTTGTACGAGTCGCAACACACATACGTAAATTCCGTACGGAATGCGCTCAGAGTTTGTCGTACGACTGAAGCGAGTAGGTGTATTTATGTATGTTTTTAAATTTAATCTTGTAGGTGTATAGCTTTTCGTAACCTTTCATCTTATTTTATTTAAGAATTCGTCGATAGAATTTACATACATAAATATTTAAAAAATATCTCTGGATAGATAGATCTTTTTACATAGTATGGACTATATTGCAAGCTTAGCTTGTCCATCTAGTATTCTTGAAACACCGACATCAAGCCGTGGTGGCACTCCCATTGTCTTGCCTGATTCTCCAGTACCTACTAAAAGCTTCGAAAGAGTCCTGCTAAACATTAAAAGCTTCCTTTGAATTCAGTACCTCCTGATAGAATTTTCATTTTCCCATTTGGGAGTAAAATAGCCGAAAGATATGCCAGTATTGTAGAAAATATCGTTCTTTCGTTAAATGTGAAATTTGTAATGTTTATTTATGTTATAAGTACAAACGCAATTATTTTAAGGAGTTCCACCAAATATAAAAATATGATTAGACTGCATACGAAGCCATGCATGGCTTCGAGTAATAACTTCTAGTATATAAGTTTATTATTTAATATTTCAATTTGATCTCATTATGTAAGCCTAATTAAACACAATTTCGTAATAAAATAATTTTCATTCCATCTCTTTAATAATTCATGCGGTAAGGGGTTAATTGTGGGAGTGACATAGGGTATAAAATTTTTCTCAAATAAAACCTCTTTCTCAGCACCAACTACAGGCTATGACAAATAGTTCGGAAGAAGTGACATTTGAAGATTTAGAAGCTACAGATGTAATCAGTGTAGAACTTGTCCCAGAACGCAAGGGGTTGATATTGAAACATTGTGAATATTATGTAAGTTCAAGAAGACATGGAACTACTGTCACTAGGAGATATAATGAATTTGTTCAACTGTGTGACGTGTTTTTTGCCAAATATCCATACAGGTAAGAAATGTGAATCTAAATCCAAAAATCTATTGTAAATTGTTTAATTTTATAATATTTATTAAATTACTAAATAATGTAAAAATACTAGCCGATAAAAATTATTTATGCTAAAGGGCATTATTCTGCTTAGGTACATACTGAAACTATAATTGATATCACATTAAATAACCTTGAGCCTTGTTTGTTGATAAAAATGTGTCATCTCAAATTATTTTATTAATATGTTATGTGAATCTGTTTTTATTTCCCAAAACGATAGCAGTTTGTTATATTTAATGCATTAAAACTGTTTCTTGATAAGTTGTTTGCAATTAATTAAATAATGAAACTAAATGTGCAATAAACACTATACATCCTTATTTAAAATCATTCATTATTGCTTACTTAACTTAATGATTAATTATCTCTAGTCTTTTTCTATCCTTATTTATTAGCAAACTTTAAGCTTTGTGTAATGGATTTTTATAAGTAAGGCCGTATATATATATATATATCACTCTATATTAAAATAAATACTCACTAGAAAAATATAGTAACTTATACATTTTTCTGGCCCAGTTTATACCAAATGAAATTTTCATAATGATTTTCGGTTTAATCTGAATAATCCGTTGGACTGTGTTGGTTATTCCGATTCTATTGTGGATATCCTCATTCTTAAATCTGGCATGAGTAGAAACCTAGAGCATAACCCTCTTCATAGCTTGCTGAACGACATTGAGCTTCCTCATACGGCCAGCAGTGAAGGACCATGTCTCAGATCCTTAAGTCATCACTGGCAATACGCACTGGTTGTACAATCTCGTTTTCAAGTTTTGACGTGGTAGAGCCATGCTGCAGCTATATTAGTAATATAGTTGTAGTACGAATGGGTCGGCTCGACCGGGGAAGAACCACGCTCTCACAGAATACCAGCGTAAAATAGCAGCCTAACACTGTTGTGTTTCGTATGGTGAGTGTAGAGAACCGGAGACCCTTTTTACTGGAAACGAGGCATTCCATCTTAGTCCTCACGGGTGACAACGCATCTGCATTTAATTCTTAATCGAGGATAGATGGAGATGTCTATGGGCCACAGTAACCACTTACGATCAGGTGGACTGTGTGCTCGTTTGTCACCCTATCCTATAAAAAAAAGTTTTGAGGTATACCTGCCGGGCTAGCATGGGCAGGAGACAATTTTATCCCCGGGGAAAGGAAAAAATGTTTATCCCCTCGCTTAGTTTTATCCACCCTTCGAGCATGGGCACACCAGTGGACATAATATCCACAGTAGATAAAATGAGAGATAGACTTAGACCTAAATAGATTTTTTGTATGAATTTTATATTAAACTCACCTTCAATGGATAAAATTTTCCCTTTAAAATATAAAAAAAAGCATAATTTTTTATCTTTCATTTGGCTCCATGCTACGGACAGAGGATATATGTGTACTCGTTATGTCAAACGTGAATATACTTCTCCTCGTTTAGCATGAGAACAAAATAATTTTATCCCTTGTCAGTGGATATAATCGGTGGATAAATTTTTTTGTCCCCAGCCCATGCTAGCCGTGCTGATGAGAAGATGTATTATTATTTTTAGAATAGATGTATCATTATTGATTAATATACCAATAATTCTTCTGTCAAGTACTATAAAAGATTGTGACAACCTAGTGTTGTTAGAACCAGACAGGCTCTGAACACTGTCAAAGACGGAATTCGACAAATCCCCATAAGGAAACAAAAAGGATTATTACTGCATCGTTAATGCTGCTGCCCGTCGCCAGTCTGGATATTTTACGTCTGGCATAACTAGATGCTATACCACCATCTAACGGAAGCCATAAGATTTTTGTGGCATTTCCCATAGTCATGTCTTACGACACCCATGGAATTAAATGTGGTGATGGATCCTCAACATGGCACTATTTTTTAATATTATTACCATTAGTATTAAATACACCCTTTTTTCTTGTCTATTATTCTATTTGAAAAAGCTCTGTTATTCTATTTGAAAAAGCTTATTCATGCATAATTTTTTTTTGTTTCCTTATTATAAGCCAGTGCTTGACCACAATCCCACCCGGTGGTAAGTGGTGATCTAGCCTTCGATGGTAAATCACACTTTCTTTGCGTAGCAAACGCCTATTCACTCTTGCCTTAAAGACACCCAGATTGTCGTCTGGATGGACGGAAAGATAGACGCCGGCAAATTATTCCACTCCTTTGCTGTACGCATTACAAAAGACTAAGCAAACCGTTTAGTTCTAATGCGTGGGATATCGACAACATGGTGGAAACGAGAGGGAGGAGTTCTGATGAAATTAATTTCATTCAAGAAATAAATTCAAGACCGATTTTCGTTTTAACCTTTTTGACATGACATAGTCAGTCTTAAAATTGTATTTACTAATGAAAAAGAATGTAATTCATAATTTATAGAGCTGTATGCCGTTTGCCGCCTAAACGGGTCGTAGTTGGCGGTGGTAGTCCAGTGTTTCTTCAGCGACGTCGTGCAGCACTACAGCGCTGGTTGACCCTAGTAGCTAGACATCCAGTACTAGCGCATGACGCGGATTTACGAACATTTCTTTGTGAATCTTCTGCGCGTTTGGAAAAGCCGAAGCACGATGAATTTGTCTTGGCCGGCACACAGGATGATTCTCCTGTAAGTTTTTTTTTTGTTGAATTGCTTGTTTATATGATGCTCATGGTCAATTTGACTTTAAAATGTTACATATCCATTTACCAAAATAGTAATATAGGAAAAACAACATTGTTAATTTTTATTTGATTTTGATTTGCATGTTGGATAAAAGAAATTTACATTACATTAGCGATCCTCCCCAGCTTTGCACGGGTGATTTCCGAATCGGGACAAAAGCGCCACCTACCGGGTCCAATTGTGAACAAACCTTGTCAGGACCTTTTTAAACAAACACAATTTCACCGAAAAACACAAATACAGAAATATTATATATATATATATATAAAGATTTATCTTTTTTATAGAGACAAATGTCGATGGATGAAATGCAGGCAGCTTTCGTATCAGAGCAGGAGCAGCTACGGTTGGTGCAGCTAGGACTAAGCAGATTATTTAAAATATTTGAAAGAGGTTAGTAATTGTTTGGGGAATAGTTTCTTCGTATTTTGTTTGTATAAAATTGAAGAAAAATCTCTTTGGTTGTACTGTTTGTATTTGGTTGGTTTTAATATCAATACACACATATATCTTTTACGTGGTAGAGCCATGCTGCAGCTATATTAGTAGTATGTATAGTTGTCGTACGAATGGGTGGGCTCGACCGAGGAAGGACCACGCTCTCACAGAATACCATTGTAAAATAGCAACTTAACGCTGCTGTGTTTCGTATGGTGAGTGTAGAGAACCGGAGACTGTTTTTACTGGAAAAGAGGCATTCCATCTTAGTCCTCACGGGTAACAACGCCTCTTACTTTTTGATTCGTAATCGAGAATAGCTGTAGATCTCTATGGGCCGCAGCAACCACTTACCATCAGGTGGACTGCGTGCTCGTTTGTCAACTTTATACCATAAAAAAAACATATAGTACATTAAGAAAAATAAAAAGTAAAAAACACTTTCCCGCCATTTTTCAGTAGATTTTCTGTCCCCCAAAATGAGTGAATCTAACGAAGAAATTCGATACATTCTGAAGTTTTATTACAAAAAAAAGGGGGAAAAATGCGACTCAAGCCGAAATAATATTTGTGACGTTCATGGACCTAATGCAGTGTCAGTAAGAGTAGCACAAAGTTGGTTGAAGCGTTTTCAGTCCGGATATTTCGATGTCAAAGATGCAGCTCATATAAATGTGTGTTCATAACATGTTATATAAATAGCGGCAAGAGTATTAGTCACATGACCTACGGAAATGGTGTATCTTTTTTCACACGATTGCGATGTCTAATAGATAAACTTTAGAGTAGGTGTAATTGACTCTCTTATCCTTTATAATTAAACAATGGAACCGAAACATCATTGCTGACATACCTAGATTTGCTTAGGCTCCTAGGCGAAAAATGAGGCCTATCATGTGAACATCAGACCAACAAAGAAAGATAGATGGAGCGCTGTGTACATTTCAAGTGATGCTAAAACCATGCTTAAGTTATTGTAAGAAACGTGCACGCAAGCACACATTTGCATCTGAAATAATTTGAATAACTATAAACATGATTTTAGGTTAAAGTAAGAAAGAAGAAATACGTGCGCGTGAGTGCGTGTCAAATAGTCGAGAATCCTTTTGGCATCACTTGAATTGTACGCGGAGGTCCGTGTGTGTGTGTCTTTCATTGTTGGTCTTAGCTTGAACTTCATCGTCAATTGTTCACAGTGGAGGGTCGGTGTGAAGCGGAACGCGCTGATATCCGAGAGTTGGGGGCTGGTCTCAGTGCTCTCAGCTCGCCCTCGCCAGCGGACTCCCCACGTTGGCTTGCGGTCAGGCAGTCTATGAAGTCCGCAGCCGAGTACGTATTCTTTACTAGGCTATGATAATACCCTAATAATAATGAGAGTATTTTCTTTTTAATAAATGGGATCAGGCCTTACTTTGCGTAAATTCGTCATAATCTTAAACATGTGTGAAGTCAAGACACACGCTCATGCACGTACGCACGCACATAAACAACAATCACGCACGCACGTGACGCGCCCATTTAATTATCGTGTCTGTCTATTAACAATCAACTAGTAAACTATTATTTCTGTGCTAGGTCCTTTTTCAACCACTTTAAAAAGGAGGAAGTATTCAATTCGACCGTATGTTTTTTTATGTGTGTTACCTCATAACTTTTTTCTCTGTGGACAGATTTGGATGATTATTTTTTTATTTGAAAGCTGGTGCTTTGTAAATAATCTAGGTCTGACCAGTAGTAGTTTTTGAGTTATCCTTAATAATTTATATTGAAGTCTGTTATCCAAAATTTTTAATTTTACCACTTGTTGTTTTTTTGTCATTAAAAATAAACACACTCTTGACCTCCATCTGGCCCGAGGGCAAAGATGAGTTCTACGATGCAGTGAGATTGCCCAGGAAAGCACTCGGAAAAACAGACGGACGCCAGCGGGGTATTCCACCTCTTGGTTGTGCGCATTATAAAATATGACTTATAGGGCTTAGTGCGAATATTGGGAATGTCAATTAAGTGTGGATATTAACCTGCAGTACGTCAGGTACTCCAATAGGAAAATGGAGATGATGGTATGAGTTTATGAAGCTCGTAGTAATAGTATAGCTTCCAAGTTAAAATGATCCTCAGCTTTAATTTATTAGTGAAGAATATATTACACATATGAAGATTCCTTTATAAAACTGTCTGCAGATTAGCTACAGCGATGGGGGAATCGTCAGAAGAAGAAGTGGACTATGAAGATGGCGCCGGTGGCAAAGTTCTATTGGCGTTGGACGCATTGGGAGCCTATAGGTATAATACAATATCGTAAATACGAGTGTGTGCGCACGTGAAGCCTATATGTATATTTAAATACGGTGAATAATACTAATTGTTAATTTACGGGCGTATAAGTACAGCTAAATATACTAAAGTACTATCGTATACTACGTAATAATATTGTTATTCTTTATTATATTTACGTATTGGACATTAATGACAGGGAGTTGTGCGGTCGGCTGACGCGTGGGCTGCACGGGGAGCGTGCAGCGGCCGCGGCTGCAGCACCGCACTCCGCCGCCGCGCAGCTGCTGCGTCGCCGTCACGGCTACGCGCTCGCCTGCTCCATAGAGGTGAGTGCGCGCTCTCCGTCTTCGTCGCTCTCACGCCCCGTCTCACTCGCACTCGTGCAGCGCAGCGCTGCACAGCTGCAGCGCATGATTGCTCTCTTGCTTAAGGCAAGATTTCCTACTTTAAAATGCGTTTAGTTTAAAAATATATCCGATAAGAATCTAATTTAACAACAGGCTTTGTTGATATTATCCAAAAATGTTGTATAGTTATCGTTAAAAAAGGTCAAGTCAACTCGATCGTCAAACGTTTTCCCGATGAATAAATTATTACTTTGTATCTCAATTAACATGAAATATTTTAAAAATCCATTAGAGTAAAAATTCAATTGAGTATTTCATTTATACGCATTTGCTTTCCGAGCATGTACTATTTTAAGAAGTATCAATTCTGGTGCGTCGCAAACGTTATCTAAAATGGTATAATTTCGCCCATCGCCTGTGTAGTATGGATGTGGATATGTGTTCGGTGCAGGAGAGCCGCGTGGCGCGCGCGTACTCGCTGGCGGCGCTGCAGTCGCTGCACGCGCTGCTGCGCACGCTGGGCGCCGCGCACGCGCGCACCGCCGCGCTCTGGGCCGACCTGCACGCCGCGCTGCGTCACTAGCCTAGCGCGCGTACTCGCTGGCGGCGCTGCAGTCGCTGCACGCGCTGCTGCGCACGCTGGGCGCCGCGCACGCGCGCACCGCCGCGCTCTGGGCCGACCTGCACGCCGCGCTGCGTCACTAGCCTAGCGCGCGTACTCGCTGGCGGCGCTGCAGTCGCTGCACGCGCTGCTGCGCACGCTGGGCGCCGCGCACGCGCGCACCGCCGCGCTCTGGGCCGACCTGCACGCCGCGCTGCGTCACTAGCCTAGCGCGCGTACTCGCTGGCGGCGCTGCAGTCGCTGCACGCGCTGCTGCGCACGCTGGGCGCCGCGCACGCGCGCACCGCCGCGCTCTGGGCCGACCTGCACGCCGCGCTGCGTCACTAGCCTAGCGCGCGTACTCGCTGGCGGCGCTGCAGTCGCTGCACGCGCTGCTGCGCACGCTGGGCGCCGCGCACGCGCGCACCGCCGCGCTCTGGGCCGACCTGCACGCCGCGCTGCGTCACTAGCCTAGCGCGCGTACTCGCTGGCGGCGCTGCAGTCGCTGCACGCGCTGCTGCGCACGCTGGGCGCCGCGCACGCGCGCACCGCCGCGCTCTGGGCCGACCTGCACGCCGCGCTGCGTCACTAGCCTAGCGCGCGTACTCGCTGGCGGCGCTGCAGTCGCTGCACGCGCTGCTGCGCACGCTGGGCGCCGCGCACGCGCGCACCGCCGCGCTCTGGGCCGACCTGCACGCCGCGCTGCGTCACTAGCCTAGCGCGCGTACTCGCTGGCGGCGCTGCAGTCGCTGCACGCGCTGCTGCGCACGCTGGGCGCCGCGCACGCGCGCACCGCCGCGCTCTGGGCCGACCTGCACGCCGCGCTGCGTCACTAGCCTAGCGCGCGTACTCGCTGGCGGCGCTGCAGTCGCTGCACGCGCTGCTGCGCACGCTGGGCGCCGCGCACGCGCGCACCGCCGCGCTCTGGGCCGACCTGCACGCCGCGCTGCGTCACTAGCCTAGCACGCAGCGAGAAGTGGGGGGGGGGGGGGCGAACTGCACGCCGCGACACGCATTAGCCGCGGAGGGGGGGAGAGGGGGTGTAAGCTGTCGTGAGTTATACTCACGCGGCGCAGCATAAGCATGCCGCTTTTATGCGTTACGCTCTTGCGCCGCGCCTGTGTCGTGGCTTCGCCGTATGCCGCTTCTGTGTAATTTGCGCCTAACAAAAGGAATTCTCGCTTTGAGCCGACCTGCAAGCTGCACTGTGGCACGAGCGCCGCGACACGCAGTAGCCGCAGGGGGTAGGAGGGGAAGGGGGGATAACTATAGGAACTCGCTCGCTCGGCATCGGTAAACAACCACACAGACCACTCGTATCGATGGCAAGTGGCTCATATACACCACATCTGGCCCCGATTGAAAATCAAAATACAGATGTATTGTCACCTTGAGAACTAAGTTGGAACACCTCCATTAAAAATAAAACAGTAAAAAATTAATGATGCGTACATTCAACCAATTTATGTTACATGTAACCAGCCCAGTGACACCAATGGTACAACTTCTATTCTTATAAACTGATTAATTCTTCCTTCTTGTTGTTATTCTTAAATAGTAAACCCCTTGCCCAGAATATGTAGTAGCTACTAGCGATTGGAATAAATATATTTTTAGACACATGGAAGATATTCTCAATGTAACATTTTACAGCAGGTGCTATTAGTAATCTGAGATTTTATACGAAATCACACACACACTCTTAAGATACATACAATTTTTTTTATACAATTTAAAACATATTTTAGGTCTTATAGACTATTGCTTATGTTAAGTAATGACGAAAGTAATAACACATGTGTACATATAATTATATTCTAGCTATTCTTAGGGTGCATTCTCACTGAAGTGGGCAGCTGACGAGACATGTAAGAAAACATCAATTTACATTATTTGTAATCCATATTATTCAGAGAAGAATTGTTTATGATATATAGCGATGCAGAACGAAACTGCCATAAAACGTTGTGAAGCAGGGTAATGCAAATTATAGTGGGAGTGTGGACAACATGCATAACAATCTGATTTATAAAATACAAGCTATCCGCCCCGGCTTCGCACAGATGATTTTTGGATCTCGACAACAGCGCTACCTACCGGGTCCAATTATTAATTTAAACCACACAGTTAGACTCAATTAAGCCACCCAGTTAGACTCAATTATATTATAAACGCGTAACTCTCTCCTCTGCTTTACTCAGCTCCACTCTTGGCTGCCCCACGTCGCTCTGCATCTGTGAAAAGGCACTCTTAAGGCCCTGATCGACGGGTAAGCTTTATCGTTATATTGGTAGCTCGCTCGTAAAGCTGGCTTATATTGTATGAAATGTGACACGTTTCAAACTATAAAATAACCATTGAAGTGTGTACTAAGTGTTAGAACAGACACCGCGTACAAAATCTGGTGCGCCAATGCGAAGCGCGTTGTCAAGAGGCACAGAATACCGTTATGTCACAGACTGTAAGTGAGCACATGGGCTCTAACGCGTGTTGTAAACAACCAAGTCTCGGCGTCTCTTCTAGTACGTAGTAAATATTATTTCAGTGAAAAAACTATGCGAGTGTGTCAGAAACAGACAAACGGCAAGTAAAATCGTGGTTATCTTTACGGCAAGCTTATATGGCTCGCCCGTCAATCAAGGCCTTTAACAGGTAAAATTAAAAAATTTGTACAACCGACTTCAATATAAATAAAATGATAACATCATCAATGTAGTCGAAGTCAATTAAATACTCATTATTAAGGATACCTCAAAAACTGCTTGTCAGATCTTGATTAAATTTATATGGGACCACATGAGAAGCACCAGCTTTTAAATAAAAAAGAATCATCAAAATCGGTTCACCTAGAAAAAAGTTCTGAGGTAACACACATAAAAAAATATTCAATCGAATTGAGAACCTCCTCCTTTTTTTGAAGTCGGTTGAAAATTAATTTGTAATCTTCCTTGTATGTAATATATTGTTATTGTATTATTTAAAATAAGATAAGTTATGACGATTTAAAAAATAGTAAAGTAAGTAATTACCCTACAGTGACATTTATGTAGTAGGATTTAAAAAAACATTCCATTTTTAATTAGAACATTTTTATTTTTAATGCTCAATAGCTGTGCAATATATTTAGGTACAATTATTAGATAGTAAAAGTAGAATTACGCAACTATTTTTTTATGTATATATTTATTATGTTCTTTATTTTTATAATGCAGAATTACGTTTATATGATAATTGTTTGTGTTACAGTTTATGATATACTTGTATTTGACGCAGTATGTCCTCATGCCTAGCTAGATGGTTTAATGTGTTGTACTCTGATTATGTTATACATCAAGTATAATTTGTTATAAATTAAAATAGGTTTTTTTTTTCACCTGTTTGTTCACTCTTACATTGGGTTAATTTATATCTTTAAATATACATAATAAAAGCATAAATGTGTGTCTGTAATATTGAAATAACTACTCTTTATTAAACTTGGGCAGTTATTTGCATGTCATCAAGGCATATGTAAACATTTTTAAAGATGTTGTCTGTCTGTTTGTCTGTCCAGGTTAATCTTTGGAATGGCTGAACCGATTGTAATAATGAAACTTCATAACAGATTGAGAGCAATCTGTTTTGAAGTTTCATTACAATTACAATCAAGCCCATCTTTATGATAAATAAAATATTTAGTATTACGTTCATTAATTATTATTAGCCTTCATTTTAATACTAGGAGATAATTAAGCAGTAATCGAATGGTAAATTTATAGTGTATATATGAGAATAAATAAATAATTTTTACAACGGTATTGGGTCTCGAATATTTTATTGTAAGTTAATTAACTTATTATAATAAATTGTAGACTAAAATAAGGCTGACTTTATAACGATAATAATTATGTGATAAAGAGATGAATGAATAACCGAGTCAATTAAATCTGAGGTAAAATTTCATAATATTACACTGGTAAAGAAGGGTTAAGATGTATTCTTAAAAATATCACTACAGGAGTAGAATTAATCAATATTTTTATTTTGTGCCCAAATAATATTTTGTCATGGTTGATTATGTGTTGGATTTTTGTTATTGCAAAATAATTTATTAAATTGTTGCCATTAATGAAAATATTTTCTGTTTGCAGTAGCATTTACATAAGTAATAAATTATTTTTGCCCTTTTTTAAGTGGATTAAGTGAATTGTTGTGTTTTTTTTTATAGAACCATTCGAAATGATAATAGAAAAAGTACATTAAAATACTCTCTTGAATCTTGAAACGCTAACTGTTAAATATAAGCTGGCAACCTTTGTTAAAGTTATTATTATAATATAGTAATAATACCCAATTGTACTACTAACTACTGTGATATGTCGAAATATCATTATGTGTAATAAAATGCGTAGCACTCATTTGTCAATTGGACAAGAAGCAATATTAAAAATAAAAATAAAGTATGTATTAAAATAAATTTACAAATATATAATATAATCTAAGAATATTTATGTAATGTTAAGATTTTATTAAATAAAGTTTATTAGTTTATTATTAAAGTGTTTCATTATCTGACGAGGCACATAGTTATACCTTTTGCAGGTCGAAAATCAACATAGGTTCCTTCAAGAAACAATGTTATTTCTTTTTAAAAGGCCGACAACTCACCTGCAATTGCCCTGGTGTTACAGTTGTTCATGGGCGGGAGTTGACACCTTTCATCAGGTGAGCCGCAAGCTCGTTTGCCTCCTCTTCTATAAAAAAAAAAGATTCTTCTTTTCAGTATGACTCGACGCACACTCGGAGAGGCTAGGATCCATCACACTAAAGACAGTGAAAATATATTTTTTTAAGAATATGTGTGACGAACGAGCACACAGTTCAGATGATGCTTAGTGGATTTGGTCGCCCATAGACATCTTGCTTCTATCCTCGATTAAGAATCAAAATGCATATACGTAGTTACACCTTAGGACTGAGAAGTTATTAGTAAAATGGGCCTC